TGGTCCCGGAAAAACATTTGCCTTTGGGTGTATCAACAGTGCCAGACAAATAAGATATCCTCATGATCTGTGAAGTCCCGGCTTTCGGTGTGTATCAACGTACTCCGTGTTGATTTCGTTTATGCCGGAATGTAGGTAGCAGCCATCTTGAAATGAGATCATCGGCACGGCCTGCCCTTATAAATTCATATGCCCACATATGGTAGTAAGTCACACCAAAGATTTGAAGGCACAGATCAATAGCCAAGATACTCAGCTTTCCGCAGACACCCTGCTTTTGCACATAGGGGCTACCGTTCTCATACCAGACTGAATTGAATAAAAATACAAAAATCGTGTCCCCAAATAATATTATGATGAATTGCATCACGTGCCTAAAGCTGCTGATTTAGAAGTATTGCATAGGTTTACATTTACATTTAAATCCAGAGCGACTTACAAATTGGTGCATTCACCTTATAGCCAGTGGAATAACCACTTTACAATGTTTTATATTTTTTATATTTTTTGTTTTCATTTTTTAATCATTTTTTTGTTTTTGTTTAAATATATATTTTTTTTTTGGGGGGGGTGGGTTGGGGTAAGGGGGGGGGGGGGGGGAGAAGGATTACTTTATCCTATCCCAGGTATTCCTTAAAGAGGTGGGGTTTCAAATGTCTCCGGAAGGTGGTGAGTGACTCCGCTGTCCTGGCGTCGTGAGGGAGCTTGTTCCACCATTGGGGTGCCAGAGCAGCGAACAGTTTTGACTGGGCTGAGCGGGAACTATGCTTCCGCAGAGGTAGGGGAGCCAAAATTGAAGGAAGACAATCTTGGAAGACACGTCCTTCTTTGCTTTGTAAACTGAATATTATATGATTTCGGATCCATAAAAGGCCAAAACAAATGTTATTCTAAAACACTACTATACATACGGTTGATATTTTATTGTGAACATAGCAACAACTGTACGGAACATAATACAATAAGACATTAGAAAAACATTAATTCATTGTCAAAGTGAAATTATTAATATTAAAGAAAATGTGCCTGATTTATATGAAAGCTCAAAACTAAACATTATTTTTGAAATACACTATAGCTACATTACAACAGATCCTTGATTGTTAACATATCAAAAACGTGCAAAACAGACCCATGTTGGGGTCAGCCAATTAAGGTTTTCCATTGTGAATTTGATATTTAAATCACTTCCTGAATTCGAATTGGCCCCAACAGACAGATGTCATGGGTCCTTAAATTAGAAGAATAAAACTCAATTTAATCTGACCATATTAATGCTCTACTCTCACAGATCCAACGGTTCTCCATGAAACACGATGCAGCCTTCCAATTAGCCAATGGTGGATTATTTGGGACAGTTAACACGCAATTACCTCCAGTTTGATTGTTCCAAAACCTGTGAAAAGAGAACACCACCGTGAATGAAAAGAAATGACTGAATCAAAGAACGATTTAACAATGCTTCTTTGTTGTTTACACTGAATAAAATGTCCTTACCCATCAGTCTGATTCTGATTACTTCCGTTAACCCAGAGCCATTGGCCGACTTTAGCTTTGTCAGTCAGGCCGATCCAGTACCCATGATGGTCATCATAGTAGTGTTGAGTGTGGTTACTAATGAATTCCTTAATGAGAAGTGAGTGAAACCACAAATTAGGTGTTAGTAGAAAGCATTTAAAAAAATATTTTTTATAGCAATTCACAGTTTCGGGAGGCAGTGTGTAAATGCTGGATCTAATGGGTGTAATCAGGTCCAAATGAGAAAATAACAAAGAGCACAACAGGAAGTAGCATTCTAATGGGCTTTGTGCTTTTGTCTTTCAGTTATGACTGCTTTACCCTGAGCTCATAGCTGTCACACATTTTAATCTAGTTCCTATTTCACTTTTTATTGTTTGAGTTTCTTAAAAGGTTGGATGAATCTGTCCCTTTAAACTCTTGTTTGTACCAGTGTCCCACCTGTTCCTCTTGGCTGCTGTGGTATCGCGTCGAATGCTGGTGGGTATTGCTGTCAATCAAAGAATCCACTTAGGCTGCACCGTGTTTTAGAGGCTTTTATTAATATCACGAGGTTACAGCATAAGTTACAGACCCGCGAAGTCTGGAGAAGCCCCGTTCCCAAATTAATCTGAATGCTTCTGACCCTTCTTCGTTTTTCCCCCAGTATATATAAACTCCCCAAGATGTGGGTGGCTCCCTCTACTGTCCAATCCCCTGTCTACAACACACTTCCTGTCTGTTGTATGTGGCGTTACACTAAAACATTCCCTCTTGATACTAAATCAACCATTCTTTCAGTTCCACTTAAAAAACATTTAACAAAGGCATAATCCTAATACACGACATATCCCCCCCTTCGAGACGAACTAAAAGTCTCGAAAACAACAGAATAGGATTATGACAAGTAACAATTTATCTTATTGAGTATCTTTAACATTAAACCAAAAACATTCTTCTCTAGAGTGTAAATACTTTCTATGAAATATGAATAACTGTTTATGAAGTGTGTATACATTACTATGAAATATGAACAAATCTTTATGGAGTGTAAGAGCGAAAAAACTGTCCGGCAGCCATCTTTTCAGATATCCATCCATCATCAAGACAGTAAAATTCTCTCACGGTCCCCTCTGCCCCAGGCAACCACCTCGGTACTCCAGATAACTCATAAACAATGTAAATGCATTTGAAACTATGATGCAATTAAATACACATGTAAGCCCCTGCAAAAATCATCGGGTCGAATTTTTGCTGGGGGTTTTTGGGGGTTTTTGGGCTTGTTTCAATCAAAGAACCCCCCCCCAAATTAAAGGCCCATTTGCCCCAACCCCCCTTTTTTCCCCGGTTTTAAAAGGGACCAAAAAAAAAAAGGCCCCTTTTAAAAATTTAAAAATCCCCCCCCCGAGGTTTAAAAAGGCTTTTTAAAAAAAAAAAAAAAGGGGAACACCCAAAAAAGTCGGGATGAAGGGAGACATTCTGGGAAAAAAAAAATTTTTGGGGGCGCCCCCCCGCGCCATTTTTCCAAGAAAATCCATCCAAAGGGGCCCTTTTTACGGGGGTAAACTTACCCCCTTTGGGGGGCCCCAGGCAACCCCTCGGTACCCCAAGTAACCAAAACAAAGAAACCCTTTGGCCCTTTGGGGCCCCCCTTAAATCCAACGAAGCCCCTCAAAAAACCAAAGTCCCAAAATTTTTATCCCCCCCAAAGGCTGGCCCCCTTTAAAAACCCTACAGGGCCCTCTCCCCCTAGACCCTTTTCCCAAAAAAAGAAATTTAAACAAAAAATTTTTTAAGGGGATCTCAACTTTAAACCAAAACACCCCAAAAAACCATACACTAAAAACCAAATACCCAAGAATAGACAAAAATTTGTATTCCAAATTTCCAAATTGGTTCTTAAAAATTGAAATGCCCCTATTGGCCCCAACTGATCCCAACCCCCCGTACCCCCCCCCCCCTACAATCTCCGCCAAATGAAATCCCCTTTTTTTCCCTCCCCCCCCCTTTACCCCGGGTAATTCAAGCTACTGGGAAAAAAGGTATCCCCAAAAAAACCCCCCCTTAAGTTTTCATACCCAAAAAATCCCCCTTGGTTTTCCCAAAAAAATTTAAATCAAAAATTCATGGTTTAAACCCAAGGGCCCCCTCGGGGCCCTTCCCTTTAATTTGAAGCCAGGAATGAAACCCTCTTAATTGTTTTCTTTCCAAACCCCTTTTTAAAAAATTATAAAAATTTTATCAATATGATCCTAAAAATGTTCAAAAATTGCAGGAAAAGACTCCCCCTTTCTTCCCGGGACTTTGCCATGAAGCTTAAAGATTTTCCCAAAATGTCCCTTTTTTAAACCCCTTTTTAAAAAACCTGTTTTCAAAATATCGGGGTTCGGTTACCCCCCCCGTCTAATGAAAAAATTTTAACCCAAACCTTTTTTGCCAAAATTAAAAAAACTTTCCTTTTTCCACCTAGGGTTTAAGAAAATTGCCTTTTTTTTCCCACCAAAACCCCCAAAAAATATTTAAAAATTTCCAAAAATTTTTAACCCTTTCCCAGGAAAAAGCCAACCCCTTTCCCCCCAAAGCCTTTTTTTCCAACCGGTTCAAAAAAATTAAATTTTTTCCCCTTTTAAAATTAATTACGGTTTTGGGTGTTTAATCCAAAGGAAAAATCATATAACTTCCAACCTTCCCCATGAAAAACCATTTCCTTTTTTAGGGAAAAAAATTTTTTTACCCCCCCCTTTTAAAAATTCCCAACCTCAAACCCAAAGGGACCCTTTCCCCCTAAAAACCCTGCTTTCTTCCCACCAACATAAAAATTAAATTTTTTCCTTTAACCAGGGGGTTTTAAAAATAAAATTAAAAAATTTGTTTTCCCCCAAAAACTTTCCTTTTTTTTAAATCTTTTTTATTGAACAAAAAAAAATTTTTAACCCCAAGGTTTTCCCCCAAAACTTTAAGGGTTGCCCCCAAACCCTTCTTTAACCCCCACTTTCTGGTGTAATTTCCAAAAATTATACCCGTCAAATTTTCAACGACTTTCCGAATATTTTAACTCGGGAAAACCCAAAGTTTTCCCCCCCAAATTGGACCCCCCTTTAATTGAAACAGCCCGTTAAAAAATTTTGGGGTTTCCCATTTCTTTCTTTTTCCCTTAAGGGTTTTGTTTTCCTTTATCTTCTGATTTAAAATTTGGGGAACCCCAAAGCCCCCCCAACCCAATTAAAACGGCCCTCCTTTGTTTATTTGGTTTTTTCCCGAAAAACCTATTTTTGGTTCTTTTTTCCCAAAAACTATTCTGATTTTCCATTTTTTTGTTAACCAAAAAAACCCAAACCCCCAAAAAACCACCAACCCCAATCTTTTAAACTTTTAAAAGTTTTTGGGGGGGTTGGTGTAAAAACCTCCTACATTTTTTTATTCCCCCGTCGAAACCATTAAACCCTTCCAAATTTCCATTAAAAGTAGTTGTTTTATTTTGGTATTAATTTAATTTTTTCTAGTGGGAAATTTTCCCGGGTTTTTCTTTTTTGTGATTATTAATTTTTGGGAGTGACTACTGTGAAAAACTTACCGGGAAAATCCTTTGGTGCCTTTGGAGGCTAAAACAACCTAAATTCTTCCATTATAATCGTGACTTTACAAATTTACATATTTTTTTAAAACCAAAAATTTTTAAACCCGGGAACTTTTTTAAAAAAACGCTTGCAACTGGATAAGTCACTTTTATATTCTCCCTGATCTTCTCTGTAACATTACGCAACAAATGAAAAATCATTCAAAAACCCTCTTTTTTGTCCAAAATATACTTTTTTTCCAATGGGGGGCACCGCTTCAAAATCTGGTCCTGATAACAATACTTTTCCCCAAAAATTATCTCTCCATGTGGGAAAAACTCCCCCCCCACCCCTCTCTCACACTAAAAACAAAAGGGGGCTTCTCCCCCCTCCAAACCCTTAATAACAGTCTTTTTCTTCAAAAATTGGTGCGGGAGTATTGGTTCCCGGGTAATCGAAGGCGATATATTTATGGCTTAAATTTAATTTGTAAATTTTGAAAGGGGTTAATTGTTTCCCCCACTGTTGTTTAACAGATGTAATGTTGGTTTATTTGTTTTACTTAAATTCCCGGGTTTTCGTAACTTTTTGGTCTGCCCTTTTTTCCAAAACGGGGTTCGGGGCCTATTTGTCAAAACTAAATTAATTTATTTTTCCCCTGCCCGAGTTCCCCTTGGTGGTCTCTGCGGGCTTCACACCCCACTAAAATTTATTCCCTTTTTGCTTCGGGGACGTTTTAAAAACCCTTTTCCCCCCAAATTCCCCTTTCCTTTCCACCCCTTAGTATCTCGGCATCACCCAGAAGTGTCACCTTATTCACTTTAAAACCCCAAACTTGAAAAATTTTCCCCCTCTTCCTGTTCTCCCCTATCCCCATCCTCTTCTGGCGCGTGGACCTTTTTCTGTAGGTGTTTTAAACCAATTTAAAAAATGATACCACATAGGAAAACCCCTTAACCTGGCCCAGCTTTTCCCAGTACTCCCAAAACCATTTTAAAATGGCCCTTAAAGACTTCTTTAAACCACTTTCCTTCCTGAAAAATTTCCCAATCTTTGTCCCCGGTTTGTACGGTATTCCTCTTATCCTCCTCAAGTGCCTCTGCACCTCTTCTTGTCTTTGCCTGTCAGAAACATATGTGGACAACTTTTTATGAAAATTGGCCATATATGTAACGTACGCTCTCATTTCATCTTCCACAGGGCCAAGCTTGGACCCTTTCCGCTTGTTCGCAAAACAGGCGTAGGCATCCTTCTTCCTGTTACAACTCATGGGGTGTCATACGTAGATCACGTAACTCACTTGAGCGACACACCATTAGTGCTAAAGGAAGCGCCGCTATCCAGTTTAGACCTGAATGTTTGACAAATTTTCACAATGCGATTTTTCAAGACACCGTTCATTCTTTCACACATCCCTTGACTTTGTGGGTGATAAACTGCTCCAAGACGTTGCTTAATTCACAATTTTTGCAACATAAATTTAACTGATTTATCCCACAAATTTCCCTTCCATTGTCCGAGGATATTCGATCGGGTATCCCCACCTGCTTATGACTTCTTTACACAAGAACTTGGCAACTGACTGAGCATCCTTACGCTTGGTTGGACAAGCTTCCATTCATCGTGAAAATCTATCTACAACCACCAACATGTATCTTTTTTCCATCAACTGGTTGTATCATATCAACAAAGTCAATGACCAACTCACGCATAGGACCCCTTGGTGTAGGAATGTAACCTGGATGAACAGGTATCCCTCTTCGAACATTATTTTTAAGACAGATAGTGCACCTTCCTATCATATAATCA